AGTTTTCAAATGAATTCTCTGACTTCATCTACCTCTTGCAAAGCATGTTGGAATATACATAGTATATGTGTGTTCCAAAAGCAACATAGCTCCACTATTTAGAAGCCCTAGGATGGGGGCTGTTCAGAATCCCACACTGATCCTCACTAACCATCATCAACCACTCAGCAGGCCTGCTTGGTTTACAGTGGACTCCCGAAATATTATTTAAGCCCACCTGGACATCCCGTGGTGACTATTCTACATCTCTGTTTCTGATGATTGCTCACCATAAACAGTTTCAAATAAATAAATACATAAAATAGTCTCTCTAATTGTACAGTAAAATGGCAGTCCTTGAGATGAATCCCATTTTGCACTAGGTGTGATGCTTTATACTCAAGGTACATAATATATAATAACTCCCAAATATATTCCATTGGAGAGAACCAACTTCCAACCACCCAAAACATTATCCTAAAATGTTGAAAGGGCTATTAAAAATAATTAGACTTGTGTAAAATACTTCTTCTTTTTTTTGCATTCACTTACTGTGAGATGTTGGAACAGCCATGCTCTCATGATATTTGTTGCTACTTTGGGGAAAATTCCTCTTTTCTTCTGCCGCTTTTTATCCTTGTCTGGATCATCATCGTCCCCTGTGCCGGGAGAGGCTACACTGTTGTCTAAACCATCCCCTAATAGAAAAAATGGGGTGAGAGATAATAAACAAGAAATATAAGCCAATCTGAATAATCAGATTAACTACTAAAGCACTAATGAAGTGTCATTCATATATGAAAAAATCAGGCATGTTCAATTTCTTATTAAATATGATTGCTGATATAGATATATAAAAATTAGAAATCATGTCTCTCCAAATACTAATTTTGTGCCTCACACACGCACAAACCATTAATTCTGTTATAATTGTTTGCTTGACACAGTGCAATACTTCTTTGTCAATTATGAAATGCAGTGTGGGAAAACCTGCCACACAAAAACCTATTTACTGTAAATGCATTCCCTGCAACTATGCTGAATATATGGTGAAGGTAATCAAGTTAAATGTTCTGTGGTCTATATATTCTGGGCCCTCTGCATAGGTGACAGTAAATGTGTCACTGTTCAGAGCACATAACACACTGCCAGCTGAACCCCTCCCCATTTACTATCATCTCCCCACTCACACACATGCACACGCACGCACACTTGTATGACCCTCAACATAGTATTTGCAAGACATGAAAACTTATGTGCCTGCATCAGTGATCATTATATTCTGCTTCTTTTTATTTCCTTTTTTTTTTTAAGGATGCACATCAAGGTAGGGTGCTTGCTTAATCAGAACTTTCCATGAACATCTTTCTCTTCAGTGCTTTTCCCTGGCATTAATTGTGCATTAGCAAAAATCATTTACTTTTAACAGTCATAGTTATTTTTTCTTGCCCTCCAGCAAAAATGCCTTGAAAGCCTGCCTGGAGGGCATCTAAATTATGTATCTGAAAAACTCTTCTGGCAAGGCATTGCAGGACCCCTACTTTCTTAAAATTCATACGAGCACGTCTTCCTGTTTTTGGGAAGGCATCAATCAAGAGCAGCAATATATGCCATATTCCTACATTAATATTTGAACTAATAACTTTTAAAAAAGGAAAGAAACAAGATCCGACTTGTGGCATAATCAAATGCAAAATAAATGAAGAATACTGGGACAGCACTGAGACTTTATAGATTGCTGTGTTTTCCTTACACATCATTAGCCTGGAGCCACACGAAAGAGGAAAACAGAGAAGTGGAGAGTTTATGCTCCCTGCTGGTGTTTAAGAAGCCGAGGTCCTGGAAGGACATCTGGGAATTGCACTGAGACGGTGGTTTTTGTAATTTAAGAATAGACATTCATTAGCAGTAAATGCCATAAATCCCATGCTAAGTAAAAACCTTGTCCAAGAAAGCCTAAAACAATAAACTCTGTGCTCAATGTAGCCTGAGATAGACGCTCCATAGCTTCCTGAGGAATGCTATAGACCCATGAACTAATTCCTATAGCCTCTTCTGGATCTTTAGTGCTGCTAAAACAAACACATTACCGATACATAGAGGCTATTTACCTCAAAACTTTAAATTCTATTTCACCTTTGTTTATGGTGCCCACACACATTTCTTTAAAAAAGAAAAGGCAAAAACAACTGGGGAGGGGAAAATACCACCACTCACCTCCCCCCCCCTCTAACTAGAGAAACAACAAAACAAAAAAAAAGCCAGAGCAAAGAGCTAGCAGATTAATTTTATTGACATTTCCATTTTCACTGCAATGTGATACCCTCCATCACATAGAAGAGATGGTCCTCACTATTTACAGAATGACAGGCCACTTCATTACAACTACCCTGCCCCAAGGCTGAGCAGTTCCCTTCCATCTGCCCAAGGACCTGAGTCAGACCCCTAAGTTGCTGTTTTCTTTTTTCTTTGACTAGAAGGTAAATTGAAGGTGTGGACAGTGATAAAAGAAAAAGACAGGAGTTTATCACGAACCAACCTTTTCCGGCAAGGAAAACATATTACTTTGGAAGAACTCCTTTTCTTAGTGGCCCACCACCCGACACCCATGCGTGTGCAAGAACAAATACACACCCTTTTCCACTGACTATGCCAAGGAACTGCTGCAAGGCAAATTCTCACAAACACTAATGGCTTCTGACTGCTCCTTGGCAACCCCAGCATTTTAACCTGGGTGGATGTGCACTCCAAAATACAGGCACTAGAGCTATCTCATCAGCTGTTCATGTGACACAGATGGAGAGTGGCTATTAGGAGCCAGGCAAGGGGCCTTGGGGATCTGAGGTGCTGTACTGTAGCCTCAGGCAATTTTGAAAAGCAGTACCCAGAGATGGAGGGAAAAGAACAATCCACGCCAAAAGTGCAAGTTCTGAAATGAGTCTCTTTTTCTACCTATTGTCTAGATAAAGATATCTTTGTCTTCTTTTCTAAAACCTATGAATGTATGCACATAATGCATGCAGATATAAAATCTTCTTTCAATCTGTCTCTCTTTCTTGGTCAGGCACACAAATACAACAGAAACACAAGAGAGAACAATTCTTGTTTCTATCCAGGCATTCAGGAACACCTTAATGCTGCTTTTTGTGCAATGCTTAATTTGGAGCCTTCCAAGAGGATCAGTACAGTGCTTTGATTATGAAAAAGGCTAATAATAGGTGGTTAGATATTCAGATTCATCCTGCATAAGTTTGGCTGAAGTTTACAGAGCCAATAGGCTTGATCTAGTGTAAAATGTTAGAGATTAATTACCAGTCTTGATCCTCTCTCCATTCATATAACGAAAGAGAGGGAGAGGGGAGAAACTTATCTAATAGGAGCAAGAGACAAATGAAAATTCTGCAAATCATCAATAACTGAGTTCCAATAGTCTAGTTATACTATAAATAGTATGCACTGTAAACCTTAAATAAGACAACTACATTAGTGATGAAAGAATGAAAGTGAAAACTTGTGGTATGGTAAAATTAGAATGCATTTCATAGCAGTTACACGAGTTACAACCCTGCAAATAAGATCAGAACTGGAATTTAGTCTGTCTGAAATTAGGAAAATAAAACAGGTTATCTGTGAAATATTACGAAAAAGAGGAGCATATGTCTATTTTAAACAAGTCCTGCCATCCCTCACCAAAAACTAAAGGCAGAGCAGCAAAATGAAATCTTAGCTGTTGAGCATGTGACACAGTGCAATAATTACAAACTAATTTTTGCCAGCCATGCCACCTTGGCACATACCAGAAGGGGCGAAAGTAATTTTCTGCCTCATACTCCATTGCCTTATGAACTATGTACCTATTTATGCCTCTCAGACAAGTTGCTGAATTCTTATTTGGTGCAGTGTTATCTTTGCACATGTGAAAATGGATACACAAATATCTAAACCAAAGAGAAATGTCTTGTGGTTACAAAAGGATCTAAGCCAATGTAAAATGCCTTATAACATGCCACTTTCTAAGCACTATTCACTACTCTCCGTTAACAAAAATGCATGGTGAGAACTGAGCACAGGGAAAAAGAATGTCAGAAGGCACTGGCAAAAATTTTCCCTGAAGTGGGATGGGGGGAGAGAGAAAGATGGTCATTTCTGGAAGGATCATTCATTCATTTGTACACTGTGGTTTAGCTTTCAAAGTCCACAGACCTCAGGGATCTTCGGGGAATGAAAGATCCAGTCCCACAGAGGGTTTGCCTCTACATTGCTTTTCATGTTATCCACTCTCCACCCCCATCCCCCGCAGCAGCAAGGCACAATGCTGTCAATGTTCCTCTAGATCTCAGCCACTGTGTGCTATACAGTGTACCACTCCTCAGGGATAGAACAGAGAAGATGTATTTAATGCAGTTCCTGGCAGCACTATCTCCCACTGGTTCTCTTACTTTATTTCGTTCCATTTCCAAGGATAGAATAGATAGATGATAGATAGATAGAATTTATATACCGTCCTATACCTGCAGGTATAACATGTGAACATGTAATATGTAATATGTGAAGAGGCCTTTTCATTACACACTTACTCTCTTAAACTCAGACCTCAATCCTACTTTCTTCTGGTGGACCCTCAAGTTCAAATGAAGTTGCAGACCAAGACAGTTTCTTTTAAACCAAGACAGTTAAAATTATTCCTCACCCCACTTAAATATTATAAAGTCGGCTATTTTTGAGCTATTTTCTCTTTTTCTCCATGCTTTTTTGTGACTCATAGAAGGAACAAAATCATTACATCGACACACACCACTTTCTGCATACAAATAGATATACTGAAGAATGAGAAGTTATGATATGTTCCAAGATCAAGACTTGTTATACATATATTTAAGTGTGTGTATACATTTGCACATTACTTTTCTTAGGCTGGAGGATGCACAAGTCATCTGAATAAGAGGGACTTAGTCAATGGTACAACATCTGCTTGGCATGAAAAAAGTGCCAGGTTCAATCCCTGGCATCTTCAGGTAAGAGACCAGGATAGCTCAGTTGATAGATCATGAGACTCTTAATCTCAGGTTCGTGGGTTCAAGCCCCATGTTGGGCAAAAGATTCCTGCACTGCAGGGCATTTGACTAAATGACCCTCCTCACTGTCCCTTCCAACTCTACAATTCTATGATTCTCTGACTGGGAGAGACCCTTGTCTGAAAGCCTGGAGAACCACTGCCATTTTGTGGACAATGCTGAGCTAGGTGGACCAATGGTATGGCTCAGCATAAGGCAGCTTCCTATGTTCCAATGGCCTACTTACAGCCCATGGCTTGTTTTTAATTAGATTGTTACATAGACTTTAACCAAAAACACATACGGATAGTTGTTCTACTAGGCTAACACAACTGCCCATAAGACATTTTTAAAGACTTTGGAATCTCATGGATGAATATAAAATATATTACGGTAATTCTTAATTTATGGGGGGAAAGGTAACCCACTCAACTCCAAAAAGGATTCTCAATGTGTGTCAAATAATAAAACATGCTCATAATAATGAGACATGTCTGGACTTTGAAACACTACCACAAACATCAAAACCATCTCAGTAAGACCAGAGGAACCCTAGATATGAAAAAATGCATTTCCCTCTCATCATCTGAGTTTTAGCATCTCCATGTAAGCCTAGCCTACAGCTAGCCTTCATTTTTTCATACAGAAGAGGAAGAGGGAGAGCAGGCACATCACATTTGCTTGTATCAAGAGAAAGTTATTCTAAAAATAATGCTGCTCATTTAAAAAAGGTTTTGTTTTTTTTAAAGCAAGGAATGGTTTCATGCCTGTGCTGAAAAAGCACAGATTTTAAAGTAAAAATTAAATAAATCTTGCCCTGAGTTTAACACAATGAAAGACTTAAGATAACTGCTTAGGTGAGCATATTATTTGGCTTACTATTTAGATCTATAACCTTTTGAGTACTGGCAGTACAATGTGTTGGCCCTCATTCACAGAATAACCCTGAGAGGAAAGCTACAGAAAGCAAATTAAAGCCGAAGGATAGTGATTTGCCCTGAAACTAAAATGGATGTGAGAAATCCAACATGCAGACCAACATTTGCTCTACTAAAGCTCAACGTCATTTCCGCAATGCCACACTGGTCCCTCTAGTGCCACAGTTTATAGAACACGCAGTCAATCTCTATTCACATCAAGAAATCATTACTCCACCTATTCCCAAGACTGAGGTCTCATTTATAAACTGCACCAAATTTTACATGGTGGTGATGGCGCTGCTGTCCTTAACCATGCAAGTGCCTCTTTACCCATTGTTGAAAGAATAGGTGCCCATATAGTTTGGGCTGATTATAGCCATGCCCAAGAAACTCCACAGAAACAAAGGGTCTCCTGGGCATGGATATGATTGGCCCAAACCACATGGCCACTTATTCATATATACATCTAACTATACAAAAAGACATAGTGGTGTTCTGGATTATGGTAGCAATGGCTGACACCACTAGTGCGATATGCCAACTGGGTCTCTTCAATTAATCAACTCCAGGGAGAATGCAAACTGTGGGGCTTTTGTGAACATTAATGACATCTAGTTCTAGCCTAGGATTCCTCTGCAAAGTACACATTTGGTAACAATTCAAATCTATCTGGAGGAAGATTCTTCTGCTAATACATTTTCTGTTTGTGGCTTGCGCCCATGCAAGAAATAACAGGTTTGTGGTTACAGCTTAATTCTGTGAGTTCCTGTGCTATGTAACAAATACCATACAGGGAGCACAAAACAGTGTTATAATGCTTACTGTTGGCCTCCTGAAGATCACAACAATCTGGTTTAGCAATGCAGTCTAATGTTGCTATACCACTGTCATCCTTACCAATGTAGCAGCACTTGAAGTAATATTTGTGGTGTGATTCTACAAAGGCTTACTGCTCCTGTTCACTGTTCAAAATCAATCACATAAACAAGGATCAGCTCAGAACTGGAAAGAAATGGGGTGTGATAGCACCCCAACCTAAAGGTTTTTAAGTCTCCACCCTGCCAGCTAATTCTGCTTAAGTTATGGTAGCAAATGGCATATATTATCATAAGATGGACATAACCCACTTGTACAGAAGAGGCCACTGTAGCTACATCAATGTATTCTGCTCCGTGACCTGCCACTCATGATATTACTCCAAGGGTGGCATTCAACTACGTGTTACTCATTGAAATTAATGGACCTAACATAATGATGTTCATTAATTTCATACTGCCCTGTGTTACCATTTTATTAGAGTCAGCAAGTTAGTTGCTCATTTTGTAGTTTCTCAGCTAAAACACTACAAGGAATATAAATTATTCCCTTTTCTGACCAAGGTAATGGCTCCAATGTGTTGGGACTTATACCTGTTGGACTGATAAATTTGTGAACTACCCTTGTTGGCTTTCTGTTCATTCCTTTTACCTATAAACCTCTAAGAATAACACCTACAGATAATTAAAGGAAGTTGAAAATTTTGTCCCAGTATTTACCTATTGCACAACTAGGCATTAATGTAAACTTTTGAATTCTTATTTTTATTTCTTTGGGAGGTTTTCAAAGTAATATTTTCCCCTATTAAAAGTTCCAAAATAGAATATTATGAAAATCTGTTAATTGTTGGGCTCTCTTACAATCCTGCTGTGCTAATCTGTCTAGAAATGTTAACATAAAAAAAATTCTTCAGTTTTCTTCCAGTGACTAGTTCATGGCCTAATGCCGTGGAGTAAAGAGAAGGATGAAATACTTTAGTTTACATGCAACATTTACTAACTGTGTGGGTTTTCCAACATTAGAGAAGGGACAGTGACCGATGCCACCTTTTTCACACTCAAAAGGCCACTGAAAAAAACAGTCTTCTTAGGCTTACCTCAAGCTTCTCTGGCCCTGAACACCCTCCCCCCAGGGTATGAGTAGAAAGAGAAAAAAGAAGTGAATTTAAGCTCCTTTCTCTTCAACTTTTCAGGCGGTATAAGCAGCATTTAGCAAATTCAGCCCCCAAATGGCTCCAAATGCTCTGAGCTGCAGGGGCTCATCCTTTGTTAGTCTCCCTCTATTTACACAGGATTTACACAGGCTATCTACTGAAGAGACCACATGTTTCTGACAGAAAGCACTTTCATTCATAGTGCATCAGGCAACAGGATTGTAACCACTGCAGCTTCATGCTGACCTGAGATTAGGGATTTCGGCAACATTGAGATGATAACAATCTACTAACTAACCCAAAATTATCCATGGAGATTTTTCTTCTTCTGACACTCACATTATAGCTAATGTGGTCATAGAAATGAGATTTCTTAAGAGAGCTATTAAGAACCAGCTATTGTCAAGAAAACCCCTCCCTCCTTTCAATAAACAGGAGGAAAGAAAGTATATGTTGCTGTGGGGGCGGGGGGGGGGGGGAATCAGACTGCTATTTGGATTTAAACCATTTCACCCACTGGCTGAAGACAAAAGTGTAAAAGAAGACAGATGGACACATATGTAAATGTGCTTCCATTTTCTCCCTGTCGCTAACAAGTTAGTTAATAGTATAGTTTAATCATGTCTTCTCTGTTAATTCATTTTGGTTAACTAGTCATCAGCAGCAGCCTAGTAACACTCCAGGAACATGCTCATTCACATTTATTTGCTTGCTACAGTGCTCAATTACCAACCATGTAATGATTAAGACATTTTAGACTCTACTTATCAGGCATGAATGCTGAAATCTTATCTGAGGGGGTCACTTCACACAAGATGATTTTCATACATGGATCTCTCTACCACATATACGTTTCCTGCATACATGTGACAAGTAATTTTGTTGTGAGAAGAAACCCTGTTTTTTCTTTCCAACGCCATCTTTAGTAAATCATATTTTAATTTTAAAAGCTTTTCCCATATGTACACATAGAAATTCCACAGAGGCCAAACATACTGAAGTCTCATAGGAAAAGCCATAATCCTGCCCACCTCAAACTGGTGGAAATTAGAATCTTAAAACAAAACACATTGCTCATACTCTGCAGCAATCATTACATTTTTTTCTAATTTATAATGAACAGACATCTCTGGTCGGTATATATGTAAGTATATAGTAGATGTTTTAAAGTTCTTCACAATATATCATAATAAAGCTCTGCTGAGCATCCCAATGATTCATTTTTAGTGAGCTCTCAAATGCCCTTTACTACAGTTAATGCTCAGATTTTATTAAGGAATAGAGCAGGGACAAATGCCCACTTAAGTTCCAGCTCTCAAATTCAGCTCTGCTTGCACTGCACTATCTAATGCTAAAGCTTCTTAATGTGCTTTTCACCTCCCTTGTGTGGCATTTCTGCGAACACAGTTCACAATTTCCAGCCCCAAACACAGAAGACTGCTACCCTTAAGTCATCCAAAGAATGTGACAGATACCATCATGGCTCTTGCTGCAACATGAAGAAACAGAAAGAGAGAGACCAAGAAGAGGAAGACCATAGTGATCAGGTTACCAAAATCCATAGACACTTTCCCACAATGTTACTGAATGCTATAATTAAGATATTTGAAGCTGAGGGTGATCTAGGGAACATAGTTTAGAAACTGTATGACACCAGGATCCACTCTTGCTTTTCTTATTCAGATTTGACTCACACTGATTTTTAATGGCACTCTTACCCAAGTAAAGCGAGCCAGCTCAGAGCCTTGTCATATACAAGCTAACAAGCATGCAAGCATTCAGCTAAAACATTCTACTGGTTTCTCACTGAGAGCCTTATTAAATCATGCTCTTTTATCTTGAGTTAATAATTCAATGGGCATTAGAACTAGGCTGGCACAGCTGTATTCAGTGGAATTACCATCTTGTAAAAAGGTAAAGGGACCCCTGACCATTAGGTCCAGTCGTGACCGACTCTGGGGTTGTGGCGCTCATCTCGCTTTATTGGCCAAGGGAGCCGGCGTACAGCTTCCAGGTCATGTGGCCAGCATGACTAAGCCGCTTCTGGCGAACCAGAGCAGCACACGGAAACACCGTTTACCTTCCCGCCAGAAGGTACCTATTTATCTACTTGCACTTCGTGCTTTTGAACTGCTAGGTATATCCTAATGCTTCTACAAAGATAGATCCCATAGTTCAATTCAATGTAATTGCTTTCTATGAATAAGCATGCTATTTAAACGCTGTATTTAGAAAAAACACAATTTTTAGCAAAAGGGTTAAACAGAATTAGTTAAATGCCCATATATTTTTAAAACAAGTTACTTCATCAGCTTTTTAAAAGAGTTAACTGGATATAATTGTCCGTATAATTAAAATTATTTCCATTAGAGTGCAGTTTTTAAACAGCCTATTATGTATAAACTAATAACTGTATCTGAGTGTTAGGTTAGCCATGATTTTGTTTCTTATTTTCCCTTTTGCTCTGTTTATCTTCTGGGCCCTTGCCTGTAAAAGCCGGTGTGACAGTAGGTTTCTTAGGCTATGATCCAAAGAATCCAATTGATTCGGTACATCTAAGAAAGCTTTTGACTTCTTACTCTTCCCCACCTGCCTTTTCCCCTGTTCATGCCACATTATAACTGAGGAGCTATTTGTAATATAGCATGGAAGTCAGCTGTTGCCTTTAGAAATCCCATTATACAAACACAAGCTCTTTTGAATCTTGGCCTTAGTTATCAGAGTACCAAGAAGGCTCATTGGTTGGGTTTTCTGTGGTGCACACAAGTGCACAATTGTTACTTTGAGGTTTTTAAACAGAGGTTGGATGGCCATCTGTCATGTATGATCTAGGTGATACTCCTGCATTGCAGGGGGTTGGACTAGATGACCCCCGGGATCCCTTCCAACTCTACAATTCTACGTTTCCATGATTAGGGCCACTAATTATGCCCATCGAGTAGCTAGTTACCCCATGTTTAGTGTTTCTACATACATCTGTGATCTTTGACAGTCTGAAGTTGCCATTCTGATATAATGAGGTTTGTTACTCTTTGATAAGTGGATAATTTATCATGTTGAACATTGTATTGCTTCATAGATTAGAACATGTTCCTTTATGAAGCTGGATAGCTCAATTGGTACAGTATGAGACTCTTAATCCCAAGGTTGTGGCTTCAAGCCCCATGTCGGGTGAATGCAGAGGACTGGACTAGATGATCCTCGTGGTCTCTTCCAATTCTGCAATTCTATTATTCTATTTCATCTTTAATGGTGGGAAAAATGGGTATTTGTTTTAAAGAAGAGAATGGAACATTTTAATGAAGAGTAGTTTACAACAGAAAGCATTGTTAAACATGCAGTTAAGTACCATTGCCTTTTTATATAATGGCCATCTCTGTTGTAATGGTACCTAGTACAGTAATATTACTAGTGCTCTATTAATATTCTCATTAGAAACCTCAGTTTTAAGATTTTATTACTCAGGTATAAAATTTTAACCACCTAACAATGGCATCTAAAAGCACTTTGAGCCACTTTTAGAAAAATTATAGTTATTGAATTTGTGTGTGCATGTGTATGAATTTATATATAATTTCAACTGCATTTTAATTATATTTTGTAACTATTATTTACCAATGTTAGAATTTCTTTAGCAAAATTTAACAATCCATATGTTCACAGTATTGCAACTGTGACAGCAACAGAACACTCTGAGTCAAACCAGGAACTATGTACGAATTATAAAGCTCTCTGATGTGATCTAGATGAGAATCTTAAATTGCTACAATATATATATATAACAAAACATTCTCAGATTGTCTGTTTGTGAATCTTTTCTGGGTCTGTGTCACTACAATGACAATGATGCAGCAGCTAACTACCTGAAAGCAGGATTATATATGCAAATTGAATGTAAATGTTGCAAAACTGCAGTAAAACTGTTTGACCCTAATAGAGCTGAAATGAAATACTCTCCCATAAAGCATTATTACTAAAAATGCAATAAGGCATAACAGCTTGTTTTAGGAGAAATAACACCACCTCCAGCTCACCAAAAGTTATAGAAGTGACCATTGTGTATTAGCAGCAGTATAATCAGTGCTTCCCCCCCCCCAAAAAAAAATATTTAGGGGTACTCTCATTTTCCTACTCATATTGAAATACTCCCCCTCAGTGAGGCCAAACTTAGATTCACAAAATGTTTAGGGGTATGCATCCCCCCAGAAAAAAAGCACTGAGTATAGTTTAACAGGTCATACTATCAACAGCCATGAAATCTTTACAATGAAGCAGGTGCTAAATGGCTTTTCAAAAATTAATAAATAACCTGCATTCTAAATAAACAAATGGTAAATATATGCATTGCCCAGAACCCTACCATACTGCATTCACTTAGCCCTCACTCCCTAATCCTGGCAGCTAATTCCCAGTAAACTCTATGTTGAAATATTGCATTGCCCAAAAGCCACACAAGAACTGCCAAATCTGAAGTTACTGTCTGAAGCAGTTGCAACAGCTTCCTTGCTAGGGACAATGAACCTGAACTACCTTGTTCCTCCCATGACAAGATATAGGTCTGAATTATCATAGCTGCTGTGAATGCTCCAATTAGTCAAAGTAGCTTCAGTGGTTGTTAAATGGCTGCTGAATGCCGTATGTCTTGGGCATGTCTGGGGCTCAGTGGGGCTAGGTTGCTTATGCTGCCACTGGAGGATGGAGGGGCGATGGTGGTTCTAACTTAGTGGCCCTGTTTGCGTGAACTGGTGGACCATAATTAGAAGCAAACCATGGCTTGCTGTGAAATAGGAGCATCCTAGTCCTCACTGCTACGTCTTCCCTGGACTTCTCTTTGCCAAGCTGAGAGGAAACAACTCAGAATTATGCACAGACCAGCACTTGTAGTTTGTTTCTCCCAAACAAACCATGCGTATCAAGCCATGAACCAGACCTTGGCTTCCACATATGGTCTGTTTGGAGAGAAACAAACCCTGTGTACTGGTTTGCAAATAATGCTATCCAGCTCACTTTAGACAGAGATTTCATTTTCAGTCTGAGACATTGCATCTCTGCCAATCTCACCAGGCACACAGCTCATCAGTGGTGGCTCCATTTCTAGAAACTGCCTTGTGTCAAATCTGTTACTTCTGAATGAGTTTGGCATTAGTTTGGAACACTCCGCTGCATAAATTGTGGCTAGGAATCTTATTCAGAGTGTGACACTGAATGTGGCATAACGATGAGAGGAAGATATTGCATGCTAAATCTGGAGTGTGGTGTAATACCAGCTGTGTCCCAGTCCCTCATGTATGCATATCTAATAGTGCCAATAAGAAAACCTAAGTTTTCAAAAGGTGCTTCCTGGAAAAACGCATATATTAAAGGAGAATACATAATAACTCTAAATTTTATACGATCTTACATACCATAAGAGCTCCAACACCTATGCACAATGGGGTGGATTAACTCTCTGGGTGCTGCAGACATATTTATACACCTCCTCCTAAAGTGTTCATTTGGCTGGCAGTCTGGAAAATGCCAGAATGTCAAGGGTTAAATTGGAACACTGAAACTTTTGCAGGTTTAACTTAAACCTTTTAACTTTAAAAAATAAATTTTATTTTTCTGATTTAGGAAATACATTGCTATCTAAAAGCTGCTGGAGCCAGTGGACAACAAGACAGCAATCACTTTTATTGAAGTTGAACTCTGTAGCTACTATTACATGGAGAATGGACGTTCATGTACAAAAACACTAATACTGGATACATCTAGGAACTACATTACATGTATTAGACCTTTAAACTTGTTACAGTCCCAGAATAATAATAAAAAATAGCAGTATTAGTAAATATAAATTGGAAAATTTATAATTGCTAACAAAAATCTGCAGCATTTATTATAGGAATTTATTGCAATGTTCTTTTTTATGCAAATAAGTCACAGGGCTTCAACGGGGTTCCATAAATAACCATTTTCCTGATCTGACATGCAAGAAGTTTATTCTACTTCACACTGAAGTTTTTAAGAGCTCAAGTGGGCAAGATGCTAGGTGATTTGTGATTGGATATATTGCCATGTTGGGTTTTGTTTTGGCTTTTAGTTTTACTTCCATATACATACCTGTATGCTTTTTGCCACAGGACAAAAAGGAAATCTGAGGAGCAGCACAGGAGAAAGGCTTAACCCACCCTTACTCCCATGCTGTGGCTTCAATCTGATTCTCTCTCTCTCTCTCTGGTCCTTGCTTATTGCCACAGAGAGAAAAAGAGAAGCAGAGTTTATTGACATGATTTTGCCCCACTTTGCATCAGCTATAACTCCCATCAGGCCCAGCCAACATGGCCAATGGTCAGGGATAATGGGAGTTGGAGTCCAACATCATCTGGAAGGCGTGACATCAGTTACCACTGAATTCTCAAACTTGAGTCCCCAGCTGTTGTTGGACTACAACTTCCATCATCCCTAGCTAGTAGGTCCAGTGGTCAGGGATGATGGGAGTTGCAGTCCAACAACAGCTGGGGATCCAATTTTGAGAAATAATGATAGAGAACAGCACAGTGAAGATTTAATAAGGTGGAAGAAGTGTATTTTTTATTATAAAATACATCTGTGATTTATGGGCTGGAAGCCAAGAAGACTAAGGCTGCAACCTTATACATTTACCCGGGAGTAAGTCTCACTGAATTCAATGGGACTTGTGAGGAGACAAGCATAGGCTTAGTGGTAAGGTTTGTTAATTTATTGTCTGACAAAAATAATCATTACAAACAAATTTGTCCCCAAATTAGGCAACTGCACCTTCCTTCTTCTCTCCCTGATGTTTAAAATTAATGAGGCTGCCTTTTTCACCATGATACACATTTAGGTCACAATCTAGGTGTGCTAGATAAGTCAACTCAATTGCACACAATAGCCCTGAGTCTAAAGCATATTTGAATGTAATGCTAAACCATGGTTAAGCACCTGATGGACAAGCCACAACATGCCCCAGGCTCGTGCATTCCCCTTTCCCCTCTGCTGCCAGTCAGGAGAATGACTTCAGAAGTTTGTACTTTCAGTAGTGAGAAAACATAACTTTCAGTTCCAAGTGAACCAAGGCTAATGGTGTAACACACTAACCATGGGTTATGAAGCTGGCTTACTTGAACTAACCATGGATTATGAAGCTGATGAAGCTACACTAATCTTCGTTAGTGTAAATCACAATGCACAATTCAGATTAAATGGGAAACTAAAAACAAAAGTAAAAGCTTCTGAATTCCTCCCAGGCACATGGAACCAGAGGGAAGGGACTGTGAAAGCTTGAGGCCTCTGCAGCTTATTCATGTAGTTTACAGTTACTTCCCAATGTAGTGTTGGGTTGTGGTCCTAAGCAGTTGTGATTCTAAGAAGCTGAAGGGCATAAAGAGGCATTCTCAGGAGCATCCCCCCCCCCAATTTAACCGTTAAACTTGTCTTTGAAAAAGTAACACAACACAAGACCAAATATCTTTGCTCTAAGATCAGATTTCAGCTCCACCAGTAAAGTAGCATTCTTAGCTAAATATGCTGATACAGCAAATTTCCAGTTCATGATCATGCAAGTCAAGGGAGTCATTTCCCTTAGTGAATACATTCTTACATTCTTGATGAGATAAAAAAAAAAAAGAATCAGCTGACTTTGCACCATTTCATTGCTGACCCAATAGAACAGAATTGTTGTGCTCCAACACCAGTCAGAGATCACCACAAAAGTAGTCAACTTCATTTTTCAACTACAAGATTATACAGCTGCTGCTTCTAACTGGGGCTAATTTTGCTACTGAAGAACCTACACCTTGCAGATGTTTCTATCTATTTTTACCACATTGACAAAATAGCAATTATTGAATAAGCTTAATGGGGTCACAAATATATAGAACTAAGAAATGTGTGCGTCTTAAAAGAGTTCTCCCCGATTTTAGTACACTGATATTGTAAAAGGATCGGTTATCAATACGGTAGCTCAGAGTTTTTATGTTAGCAATGCATCTTTCACTTTGATTATTTGTACATTATCGAAGTTCATGATTAAATTGATGAGTACTATTTACAAAAAGTTAGCATAGGGAGAAAATGATTATTATTTCCCTATTTGCATTTAGAGAAACACAATAGGAAATATGGGTATTCAGTGATACCTTATTTCACTGAATTTTTTTCTGCTTACTTGAAGAAGTGATGATACAGTCACTATAGTTTCAATACAAAACATTCCATGAGGTCAGTATCTGAGGTTCAATTGTCAGGAATACTGGCCAGAGACTTCTCTGTTGCTATGCCTTAGCTTTAGAACCTGCTATCCCATGAGATGTCAAGTTCCAACAGGCCCTTGGCTTGTAAGAGATATGAGTTATTACTGCTGATCTAATTTTGCTCCACTGTACTGATTGTGCTCTCTCATTCTCTCTCTCTCTCTCTCTCTCTCTCTCTCTCTGTGTGTGTGTAGTTGTTTTGTTTATCATTGTTTTTAAATATCTGTTGTTGCCTTTTTTTTGTTTTTAACACTATACTGTAAGTTCCACTGAAAACTTAGAGCTAGAAAAATGGTATAAAAGTAGCTATACAAACAAATAAAATACCATACACACTTGCTTGAGAGTAAATCTCTGTGAATTTGATGAGTAAAACTGTATAGTAATGGGTTACACTGGCACAATCATGGCTAACACTGGTCTTACATTATTGAAGCAGGGGAAGATGAATAATAGAACAGATGTCCTGACTCTGCAGATCTTTCCCACCGAAAGATCCCATGATTTGGTGTAAGATTTATTCATGGGTCCCATTTTCCAAACACAATGTATTCCTAGGAAGTCATTCATTAGGTGAACATCTCATAGTTCCTTCCTGAAATGGCTGCAGCCAAACAACAAAAGAGAGGCAAAAACTGGTCTGCCTGATCTCTGTTCTCTGATTTGTCTGATCTCTCTCCCTTCCTCCATCCCTTCCTTAGAATCATAGAATCATAGAGTTGGAAGAGACCACAAGGGCCATTGAGTCCAACCCCCTGCCAAGCAGGAAACACCATCAGAGCACTGCTGACATATGGTTGTCAAGCCTCTGCTTAAAGACCTCCAAAGAAGGAGACTCCACCACACTCCTTGGCAGCAAATTCCACTGTCGAACAGCTCTTACTGTCAGGAAGTTCTTCCTAATGTTTAGGTGGAATCTTCTTTCTTGTAGTTTGGATCCATTGCTCCGTGTCCGCTTCTCTGGAGCAGCAGAAAACAACCTTTCTCCCTCCTCTATGTGACATCCTTTTATATATTTGAACATGGCTATCATATCACCCCTTAACCTCCTCTTCTCCAGGCTAAACATGCCCAGCTCCCTTAGCCGTTCCTCATAAGGCATCGTTTCCAGGCCTTTGACCATTTTGGTTGCCCTCCTCTGGACACGTTCCAGTTTGTCAGTGTCCTTCTTGAACTGTGGTGCCCAGAACTGGACACAGTTCTCCAGGTGAGGTCTGACCAGAGCAGAATACAGTGGCACTATTACTTCCCTTGATCTAGATGCTATACTCCTATTGATGCAGCCCAGAATTGCATTGGCTTTTTTAGCTGCCGCGTCACACTGTTGGCTCATGTCAAGTTTGTGGTCAACCAAGACTCCTAGATCCTTTTCACATGTACTGCTCTCAAGCCAGGTGTCACCCATCTTGTATTTGTGCCTCTCATTTTTTTGCCCAAGTGCAATACTTTACATTTCTCCCTGTTAAAATTCATCTTGTTTGTTTTGGCCCAGTTCTCTAATCTGTCAAGGTCGTTTTGAAGTGTGTTCCTGTCCTCTGGGGTGTTAGCCACCCCTCCCAGTTTGGTGCCATCTGCAAATTTGATCAGGATGCCCTTGAGTCCATCATCCAAGTCGTTGATAAAGATGTTGACCCTTCCTGGGTTCTGCCCCAAATGGCTGTCGCCCACCAGCAAAACATGAACAAGTAAGGAAATGGCCAAACTCTGGCTGTTTGGATATCTGAATCTGTGGTGTGTATAGTGAGGTTTGGGTACTAATTCCTTGTGCTTGGGTAACTGAATTTGCGGATAATGAGCGTTCTGATAGAGGGACTTACATGTACTTTGTCACTTATTCCCTTCCTCCATTATATTAATAACAGATCATCCTCTCATGGCCATGTACTCTCTCCTGAGTAAAAACAAACGCCATGCTGGCTTTGAGCTCCAGTGAGCTGCTAATTGATTATCCATACCTAATAACTACTGCAAAGTTTCAGAAATTTTTTTTGTTTATTGAGAGAGCCAGTGAATAATTGTTGGTAAAGAATTCAAGAATACACACACACACACACACACACACACAAGCTTTTAAAATAAAAAGAAGCAATTCCCATAAGCAGGCATGATATAATTCACTGGACCCAAATTCCATTGTTCTACTCTTTTTAAAAAAGCTTTTCCAATGCCAGTTAAAATACTGGTAAAAATGTATCTATACTAAGGTGCGAGACAGTAGAATCTGGCTTGTTTGCTTTAATAAAAACAAATATATGATATTCCCAAATTATTTTGCAGCCTCCAAAACACAAACTAGTTACAGTGTTCCAAATGTCCTGTTTATTGTATTGTTTTTGCAATATGTGAAACAAACGATCATACATAAACACACATCTAAATTTAAGTGCCTTTTAAAAAGCTAAAAACAACATCTAGAAAAGGATTCATATAAATGACAAAAAACTTGAAGCCAGGATCAAGTAGCTGGGAAAACATCTTTTTTGTTGAAGCAGTTGTTTTTACTATATTCATAACTGCTTTTACTTTGTAAGATAAAGTTCAATAAATATCAGACATGGACCTATTTTTGAAGGTTCCCAGACTCCTAAACAGCACCTTCCCATTCATTACGGTAGAATTAGTTGGCAATGCTACTAGTTGCACCACACACACACACACACACACACACACACACACACACCACACCACACCCTAATTGGTCCCACAGGGTAGTTAGGTGCTGTGGAAGACTTAAAAACACCATTATCTCCCCATAGTGATTTGCTAGCCTTCCTATACTCTCTGTAGCACATTGGGACTTCTAAATTACATACCATAATTGACACCAAATATCTGTCCCACCAGTGAATATCTTTATTAGCATCAAAATCACTCACAACTAGCGTTCCTCAATGTTATTAAACAGAACTTGTTCTAGGTGTTGCCTTACTAATTAGTCAGGATGAGCCCGAGGAAGAAAATCTGGGTCATGTTAAATTAATTGGAATGAGCATGAAAATTAGCTGAGCAAACTGCATCAATTTTCTATAGAGAGCCTTCCTTCATGTCGAGAATAAAAATTGATATTATGAGGCATTAACCAAACTGCCTTCTGTGACTGCCAAGAGGTGTGTTACAGTAGCCCAAAAATATCATGCTCACAGATTTTCAGAAGTTAATGAGACATTTCCAGGAATGGTAAATACATGGTGTTAAAATGGGTGTGCCTCTTATGGGAAAATGCCAAGTCATTTCATGTTTATTCAAGCA